CTATTGGGTTGGAGGCCATCGCTTTTAGGTTGAAGGCCATTGCTATTGGGTTGGAGGCCATCGCTTTAGGTTGGAGGCCATCGCTTTCAGGTTGGAGGCCATCGCTTTTAGGTTGAAGGCCATCGCTATTAGGTTGGAGGCCGTCGCTATTGGGTTGGAGGCCATCGCTTTTAGGTTGGAGGCCATCGCTTTTAGGTTGAAGGCCATCGCTTTTAGGTTGAAGGCCGTCGCTATTAGATTGGAGGTGCCATCGCTTTCAGGTTGGAGGCCATCGCTATTAATTAGGTTGGAGGCCATCGCTATTACGTTGGAGGCCATCGCTATTACGTTGGAGGCCATCGCTTTTAGGTTGAAGGCGATCGCTTTTTGGTTGAAGGCCATCGCTATTAGATTGGAGGCCATTGCTTTTAGGTTGGAGGCCATCGCTTTCAGGTTGGAGGCCATCGCCTTGCTGTTAATTAGGTTGGAGGCCATCGCTATTACGTTGGAGGCCATCGCTGTTAGTGCCCTTTACCTTGTTCAATCCTCAAACATCATCTTTGAAGCTGTCCGAGGCAATGGGACTGGCCGAGTGCAGTTGCAGCGTCTTCCATTTCCCTTTGAGGGTCCTGAGAACGAGATAGTGGTTCCGCCCGAGGGTGCTGCTAGTGTATCGATTCAATGCGCTCCCAACTTCACAGGCGAAATGACTGGCTTGTGCTTTGGCTGTCATGCTGCATACACCGTACGCCTTCGCTGCCTCTCCCTTTGCAGAAAGAACTTCGGACACCTTAGGATACTTGACTTTGGACCTCTGAGCCGCAGGCGAGTGGCTTGGGGAGGCGGCTTTCAATACGAACCCTGGCTGCAACATGTGCAGGAATCTCCACCACGTTAATTTAGAGGACACGGCTTCTCATTTCGGAGAAATACTCTTCAATGACTGAAGTGTATGAAAACAAATGCTCAGAAACAGTGGGCTCGATGCGTGGAACTCAAGCCGGTCAACATTGGAACTTGGAACTGTCTCTTGGCTGAAGAGGAGGAGTTGTCTGGAGATTTTGCAGTTAATTTTGCAGTTCCTTTGGACTGACATTGCAGGAGCACGATGACCCTTGTCCTAGTCGCACGCGCGCCGAAATTGTATCATTCCCTTGCACAGCCTGGCCTTTAGACGGACCAAGTCGCCCCAGCCGAGGTCCTGAAGGTGAGACTCAGATGTATCAGCAGGAAGCCACCTGAGCTTCAGATGGAGCCATTTTCCGGAGCTGCTGAGGCGGAGAGCCAGTGAGCCAGTGGCACGATGTCGGACAAAGCAGCTTTTGGAAGACTTATTAGGTGTTCCCTCCTGCATGCTGCAGGTGTTGTCAGGAGGTCTCCTTCGTTACTTGCAGCCGGTGGTGCATGCCGAGTGGGACCGCTGAGTGTTAGCAGAGCTTTCTTCACAGTGAGTGGTGAATGTCGAACAATTCAAGTCATGCTGCAAGATGACGTCCAGACTTGCTGGAGAGGAGCCATTCGTACCAGGGAAAGAGGTAGAGGCAAATCTGGTGCTCCCAGAGGAGAACAACAGCGACTTGACAGATTCTGGCGGGATGGTGCATGAGATGTGCCTGCACCACCACAGCACCAATAAGAAATGCAACATATCCGACATGTCCCTTGCCCCCAGCCACTGGCAGCCTCCATTCAGTCCTGCTTGGAGGCTTGGGATGCAGCAGGCACAACACAGACGCCCCATAGCTGCAAATAGAGACCAACGCGTAGCTAGAATTGTAGTTCCATGCGGATCCTCAACAACGAGGCTACCACAACAGGGCCACAGAGAGGGGCCACCTCGGACCATCCGAGGTCTCTGGCTCAGTGCTTCTGATTGGACGAGGGGATTGCTACTTCTCCGTGAAGGCGCTGATGGCACAGGAGGCCCAAGCGTTGGGGTGCCTTGGGCAGCAAGCAGAGCCAAGCGCATGACCCAGCAGACCCACCACCTACGCGTGTTGCGAGTCCAACTGCAAATTAGCCAATCAAACATGGGCACCATGGGTACCATGGTTTCCATTAGCCTTAGCTGCACTGCCAGCACTTGCCTTTTGTGACTCTTTTGATCTTGCCAGGGTGCTTTTGTACAACAACCAGGTGGGCAGGGAAGTCTCACATTCACGTGTGCTCGACCTACACATATTACAGAACCATGATTTGCACTCTGCAACACGCTTCTTTCACGTTGATGCAGTGGTATTGCAATTCTAACATGCATCCATGCACCTCCATCAATCGTTGAGAGAGGATCTGGAAGCTGTGTCCCGGAGGACAATGGTGCATTGCCAATGATGGCCATGCCGCGAGATAGTGACATCCCTGTGATTCCGATGTTTATGGTGACGAAGGCCAGCCAAGCCACGGAACCTGAACCCAGAAATGGTTGCATAGCACGTGAGTCCTGGTTTGTGTTGCACGACCACGACAGAGTTGCCTTTGAACTGCTCGATGGTTGATCCTGGAAGGCAGAGGGTGAAGCTCTTCTTGCAAGGCTTCAGGAGGAAGCCCTTCGTGTAAAGCTGCGCTGGCAGACAGCGGCTTGTTGGCATTGGGCATCATGTGGCTGTACTGGATTTGTGGCCAGCGAGCCATGTGCACAAGCTGAACTCTCAGCTCACCTGGCGAGCTGGCGTTGGGGCAACGCCATGCAAAAGAGCAGAAATGAAGGGCGTTGGTTCTGTACAGTGGTGTGGTCCATATGGCACACCGATGCACAATGAGACAACAATGACAAATTTATCCATCAGTCTTTGCAGTCTTTGCAGTCTTTGCACTGTGCGCAAAGCCGGTGAGGTCAGCGCTTACACACTTCCTTCAAGGTCGGACAGGGCACCTTTGCTGTAAATTGCTTGTTGTTCTGGCATGTGCTAACTTGTCCGTTCAGGTGATAATGTAACCTGAGTTGGCTGGAGTGTGTCCAAACATGTGGCTTTCAACAAAAAAGAACAGCAGCAGCAGCAGCAGCAACAACAGAAGATTATTGTAGTCATGGTTTGCTGAGGTCTCCATCCAGATTTCCAACACTGGGGTTGCCGACCTACGCTGGAACGCGCGGCCCAAGTTATCCTTTGGCGCCCATAGCTGCTTGAATGAGGAGATGCAGTGAGTAGCCGTTGGTGCAGAAGCAGCCGTCAGAAAGACTCAAACCCTCAGCATACCCCAACTCAGGCATGTTTTGTTTATTTCTTTTCAGGTAGATTTTCATAGATTTTCTGTATTAACGTTCATCAGGCTTCTATGAGACTTACATCTCTGGAGTGCAGAACTCCTCCATGGCAGAGTTTTCTTGGACAGAGGTTGGTGAAGATTTGAGTGACCTGGCTGAGGCAGTGCAGAGCTAGCCTTGGGCAGGTGCTAAGCGCAGTTATATGTACCATCAAGGTAGTAGAAGCATCAATAGAATGCTCAGTCGGCCTTCCCTTTAGGCTGAAGAAGTGCGCAATCAGCTTTTAAACTATAACTTATACGCGGCTTTCTCGGCAAAGTCAGGACCAGAGAGCAAGACTAAGTCCTGTCGTGGGCACCTGTCACCAGCTTTCTCAGGTTTGTGTTCTTTAGATATGCCACCAGCTAGCTAGATGGCGCGTAAATTGAATGGCAACAGCTGGGGAGTAAATGAAGCCTCGCACCTCTAGAGTCCGTGCCGCAGGCTTCTTCAGGGAGCACGGCCAAAATGCAAGTCTGCAACTGCCCCTGCCTTTCAGCTTTTCCTTTTATGGGCAGATGTTTGATAAGGCAGTTGTGTGTCGAATGCAGCATGGCAGTTTCTTGGGAGTTTCTTAGGACATTCATCCTAGTCTTTGAGGTCTCACTAAAACCCAGTCTTTGTGTTTGTTCCACACCTCTCATTTGGAGGTGTGGGTCACGTCCAATGGCTTTTTGGCCTTCGAGATCTTCGAGGGTGAAGCTCCACCTTTGCCGTTACCCTTCATGGCTGGGATCTCCAAGCCCAATGGGTCAGGGACTGAGCTGATGCACTTTTTCCACTAAAGCTGAACGCAGAAGTCAGAGCTTTTAAAGGCAAAGCTGGCTGAACAAATGTAACTAGCTGCCACGTGAGATGCTAGTAAGTACAGAAGCGGTTGGCCCCTTGAGCGGGGCTTGCTGAAACAGTGGTGTCAATGAGTGCTTGCCTTACTGGCTGCCAAAATGGTGGTCTTGGCAGAGTGCCACAGAAAAAGAAATCCGACCCCCTGTTCAATGTTGTGGACAACAACACTCGTCGTACGGTAGATATAGATATATATATATAGTTATAAGTATATATAATGAAATCAGAGGGGATCCAATGGACCACACAATCCAAACTGGAAGCCTTCCTGTTGCGTGCCTAGGATAGTAGCAGGCTTTGGTTGGCCTTTAACGTGCCACGACTGCCGGAGACTTGGAGGCATGGGAGCCATATAAGACTCCTAAGGGAGGGTCGGGCACCATTGTATTCCGAACTTATCACGAAAGCTAGCGAAGCTAGCTGGAGTTACTCTTGCGATAGCAAGGTTTCTTTCGACCGGGTGCAAATCCTAACCGCTGATTTTTCAGGTCGAAGCCCCCCCCCCCCCACCTCCCCTCTCCCCACCGCCCCTCTCCCCACCTCCCCTCTCCCCACCTCCCCTCTCCCCACCTCCCCTCTCCTCCTCCTTGTCTTCCTCCCACCTTCCCTCCCTCCCTCCCTCCTGCAAGTTCGACTCCGTCCTGTCGTCGCTCTTTGGCATGCGGTTAGCGTTGCGTATCTTGCGGCCGCACTCGCTCACTCTCACTCTCACTGTCTCACTGTCTCACTGTCTCACTGTCTCACTGTCTCACTGTCTCTCTCTCTCTCTCATCTCTCTCATCTCTCTCATCTCTTTCTCATCTCTCTCATCTCTCTCTCCTCTCTCTCTCTCTCTCTCCTCTCTGTCTCTCGTCTTTCCGTCTCTCTTCTCTCTCTTCTCTCGCAGGAGGATCCGGGCAAAGAGCCACATATAAAGGACTCTTCACCCCTGCCTCCAAAAAGAGCGCCGTGTTTTTTCCTACCTCGCCGCCCTCCACTTTCCCATTCTGGAGCGCTAGCTTTCGCCCCCTCCCTTGGCCTCAAGTTATTGTATTATTGTATGGGCTTATTTGCTTGAACACTGAGGATCTCTTCGATGGAAGACGGCACGTGTTTTGTGGTCCAGTATGCCAACATGTCATTCGATCACCCAACGCTTCCCATGAGTGCCGGGTCGGATGGTCTCTCTTTTGAGATTCGGCTTTGCCAAGATACTTGGCGAAGAACTAGTAGCCCAGGAAAACAGGCAAAGCCAGCAAAATGGCGCATCTGAATGCTACTATGACTATAATTACTATATATAATATATCCAGTCTCCAGTCTGTGCTTGATTGGATTAGGATGGTCGAATCAGCATGATGTATGCCAAGTTTCCAGAGCCATCGCCTTAGATTGGCCTCAGATTGCCTGGAGTGAGATCTTCTTGAGCGGACGATGATGTCTGAAATCAAAGACTGGCCGGTTTTGTGTGTGAGCCGTGCTGCAACCTGATAGTGTTGCCAGTGTTGTCTATAATAGCACTCAGGCCTGCAAGCGACTACCGTGATGCTTTTATTGGGCTTGAGACCATCGAGGGGGATGCCTTGATGAACTTGCGCTCGCAGTTGCCCTTCGCCGAGCGGTACCTTGCTCACAGTTTGATGGCTGTAGACTGGCCTGAAGAGTGGCGCCAGAATGAGGTTCAGTGTAAAGACTCGGATAGACGAAGCCCTGTGCTTGACCTCCTGGTAGCCCGAAGTTCTATGGAGTTGGGGCATTCTGTCTGCATTTGTAGCATTTTGCTGCCCTGCAACCTATCAAGTCAACATTCGCTGTGGTGCAGCACATCAGTGATGCAGCGTTCACGCAGAGTTGCTCTTGTGCTCAACACCCGGCTATCTTTGAATCACGACAATGCTAATATGCGGTCCGTGGTCCCAACCTCAACAACACTAGCATTGTCAGCATTGTTGATTTATTAGTTATTGCCTTCCGGACTCATCGACAGGTTACATCCATCCGAACTGAAACAAGTCCCCATCTTTTGCCGAGGACTCCCTTCGCTGTAACTCTACAACCTTGGCTGCGCGCTGCCACCTGGATAGCAGAACCAGCCTCTAAACATTTCTAAACAACCACCAGCCTTGAGAGTTTGATACAGTTTTCGCATCAAAGCCGCGCTCGCGGCATGTTCATAGCAACCAAGGCTAGTGCAACGCAAGGAAGATTGCTGCAGGGAGAGTCTGTAGAGCTTTTCTACGATGCCATAGCCTCAGCTGTTATTTGTTACCACGATCACGACTTGCTCCTGCTACTTCTACCTTACTTCCACCGTGACGACAATGACGACAAGACGGCTACTGCTACTACGAGTATATACGACTATGCCACTACTGCTACTCCTGCTGCTGCTGATGATGTTGAATCCGGCATGGAATCTGGAGGTCTTGGAACTGAAGTTTCCGGCACATCTCTGAAGTTTGGCTCAAAGCCAGCCTGGTCCCGTGGCATGAGCACCAAGCGCCTTTTGCCTTGGCAACAAGCTCTGGAAGAAAACCCAGAGCACATCCCGGTCATATGCCATGGTCCAAACGGTGATGTGCAGAACCTCCTGATCCCAAAGTCCTTTACAGTAGAGCTGCTTGATTCAGAACTGGTCGTGTGGAGTTAGTTCCCTGGAAGTGGTGAGAGCGTGAGAGGGAAACCTACTTCCTCAAAAGGCATCAAGTCCTATGCTTTTTAAGTTGGCCACTGAGGTGAGGTTGAAGAGACGTGTGCTCTTCGTTTTCAGCTCTGGAGTGTGACAGTTGTTACCTGTGAACTTCTTTAGGTTATACCAGAGCCCTCTCAGATCATCTCAGGCAGTTTATTTGCAAGGCAAGGAGCTTCTGCAGTTGGGCGGGCCAGAGGAGCCATGTTTGCCTTCAAGGTTTGGTGTGCGCCCTTTTCTCTTTGGTTGTCAGTTGTTTGTTCATGTGTAAAACCCTAGCTGAGTGACAACCATCAATGTCCACTGTTCACTGTTGTTGATAATGTCAAACCGGGCTGGCTTGAGTCTTGAGGTCACTGGCATAGAGAAGTGTGGTCTTAAGATGTCTTAAGCATGTTTGCCAACTTCGGTGTCGTCACATCTTCACTATGCCCATGAGAGCTAGGTGCCCCTCCAAACATCTTGCGATGAATTCGCGCAGCATTGACCAATGATGACCAATGCGTTAGGCCAACGCATGACCTGAGAGGCCGCCAAGAGATCGACCCAAAGCAGTTTATGGAGGACCTCTTCATGGACCACTCGGAGGCTGGCTTCCTCCACATAGAGGTGGACGAGTCACTGGCTGACATACATCAGGAGGCTGTGGCTCAAGTGAAGCCGAAGCAGGGCATCAAGAGATCCAGGGACTCGGAGGAATATGTTACATTGAACCAGGCCAAGAAGTTGACGATGAACATCAGTCGCATGGTTGCGTACTCAATGACAGGGTACATCGTAGCGGGCGGCCAGTTTGGTGCCACCGTGGGTTTCCTGACTTCATGTGCACAGGCTCTGCAAGGAAATTAGTTCCAACATCCAAGATGGCCTCCCAGCATGGCGGCCCTTGGCTGATGCATGGCACGACGAACCGCAAATGTCTAAAGCAGGCTGTTTTTGACAAGTGTCGTGTCATGGTTTGTGGGGAAGTTGGATTGTTCAAGACCTCATCCTTGGCATGTGTTGAGAAGCATGCAGCATCCCCACAAAGTCGGGACACCAGGTGACGGGTGTAGCATTCGGCCCTCCTCAGCCTGGCTCGAGCGATGGGCACGGGAAGCAACATGTGTGCCACGCTTACGCTTGCCTGAAGCCTTGCCACTCGTCACCAGTTGGAGCCAGTGCGCCGATCTCGTTCCCTGAAAGTTGGAGTAGATCTGAACTGGCAAGTGACCCTTTGTGCTCTTCTATTGTCTGACAGCTCGGTAGTCAGCTCGGTTTCACTCGGTCGAGCTCCGACAATGTCGGATGGACGCTGCGGAGCCCAGGTGCCCAAGGGCGATGGACGATGCGGCCCTGGGCGAGCGCACCTGGACGGACGAGGGCCTCGTGCATTTAGCGCGCAATTGTCTCAGGGTAGCTGGGTCGAGGAGTTAGTTGTGGCATGTTGTGGCTCGTGGGAGATTGCACAGATGGGGGTCTGAGTCTCTATAGTATCCAAAAAAAGTAAGTGAGACACGATGATCAGTGGTAGCCAGACACGGCCGAGAGAGACAGGCCAAGTTGGAGTCGATTTCCTATGCTTTTCTGTCAAAAGCTCTTGAACACTGCAATCAAACATCGTGGAAACGTGCTACACATGATTGTCATTCTGGATGACGGACCTGCGACACCAGTCTTTCCAAATTGCCGATTTCCCAGCTAGCCGATAGCTTTTACGACCAGTCGAGGGCAGAGAGTGCTTTGAGGTGACGCAGGACAAGCTCTCCGTGCCTTTGCTTCGCAAGTGGTGGTCAAACTGCGGAGGACTTTCAACGCCCTCAATCCATTGTTAATCAAGATGCTTTCAATTTTAGTTTCCAAGCATGAAGCACGAAGGTAACTTGAAGGCACTTGTTTCACCAACTTCGGCTGGCATGAACAGCTAAAGCTGCATTGAGGGCATGTGTGATGCATCACCTTTAACGTCCATGCTCTCCACAGCATTCGCGAAAAGGCCTGCGGCAATTGAGGCTTGGAATGATTGGAGGGATTGTGTTTGACAGGTATGTGATGTGCGTGGACAGTGTCCAAGGATGTCAAATGTCTCCCACTCTTGTCAGAGATAATTCGAAGGGGCAAGGGTGATTTGGGTTGTTTGCAAGACCTGTCTTTTTTGCTTTTGCTTTTCTGGCAAGGGAGCCAGATTCTGTAGGGTTGCTCAAAAAAGGGGTCCAAACAAGAAGACAGCGCAACACTGTGATATATGATCTAAACATGTTATTATCAAAGGAAGTTTAGAGGAACTTCCGTGTTACGAACATTTACATCACTCATCATACACCACTCATCACACCACTCATCATACACCACTCATCAGACACCACTCATCATCCAGTGAGCTCTAGTTTCAAGAGCTCTAGCTCCAGCTAGCTCTAGTTTCAATAGCTCTAGCTCCAGGTTACGTGGCAGGCGCAGCACTTTGTGAACCTCCATGTGCAGATTTCGTGGCAGGCACAGCACTTTGTGAACCTCCATGTGCAGAGTTCGTGGCAGGCGCAGCACTTTGTGAACCTCCAGGTGCAGATTTCATGGCAGGAGCAAAACAAAATGCGTTTTCGAGAGATAGCGGACGCACGAAATGCGGTGTTTTTCAATAGAAGGGGTGGCTCCGAAGCTGGCAAGTCAAGCTTTGCGGAACGACGTGTGCGAGACGGTCTCGGGTCATGCTCGGGTCATGGTCGGATCATGCTCGGATCATGGTCGGATCATGCTCGGAATCGTCCCTCCATTGTGGTTAGAGTTTTCACTTGTTTCTTGAAGTGCAGATTTCGTGGCAGGCGCAGCACTTTGTGAACCTCCATGTGCAGATTTCGTGGCAGGGAACCGGGACACTCCTATAGGTCAGTTTGTTCTTATAGGAAGCTTCCGCCGCCGGCTTGCCCGGGAACTACTTGTATGACGCATTGAAAGACTATGGTTGCGGCCTGTTTGAAGGGCATGTGTGGTGATTATAGAACTCCTGGTTTGCAGTTTGGTTCCTCAACTTGGGTCTCTTTGGCGCCCAAGACATGTTTGGGTCCATGCGTTTGCACTGTGGGGCATGTGTTTGCTTTTAGGCTGTCTTTAGTTGGCTGTGACTTCTCGGGGTGCCTCCGCGCAACATGCCAGGGGTGGATGAGGGTCACAGCCCACACGCGCAGTTTTCCAGGCTTCCATTTGGCAGCAAAGCAAGCGCGAGGGTGCTGAATATGTTTGCTTTGGTACTCAAACCTGCGCCTTGTTTACCTCAACCACCGTACTTGTAGCGTCTCTGTAGTTTCGTCCTCGCTAAACTTCTCTCGGTGAGACGTCCTTGCCTTTGGGCTTGGCGGCGGGCTAGTTTAAAGCGTTTCTCACTGTATGTTTGAGCTTGCGGTTCTGTTTTTGAATGTGTTTTGCGCCTTTGAAACGTGTAAACTTATGACGAAACAGTCCTTGATGCGCATTAGCGGTTTTGCTTTTGTGAGTTCCACAAAAGAGCAGCAAACAGTGTTTCATTTTTGGTGGTGTCACCAAACACACAATGTCAAGCAAACTTTTGTAGGCCGTCCGTGCTTGCTGCACACAACTCTTTTAAGTTTCTGTTGCCAAGCAAAAGGCTCAATCCAACAGAGGCACTAGTAAAGAAGTGAAAGAAAACCCAGACCTATTCGTGCTTCTGCAGGCCAGGAACAAACACAGCAACCAACAGGACCACTCAACAGCAAGTCTTCCCCACACGCAAACGCAACAGAAGCTCAGATGTTTTTGTAATAGACGCTTCGAGCGCCATGACTAGTTCTTGCAGCTGGGTCTTTATAAGCTGTCAAGAGGATTGGGTCTCTGAACGTTCGGATCGATGGCATTTAGCATTTTGCAAGGCCAGGATGACTCCATTTCAATCAGAAAGTTTTTGCAGAAGACAAGCGGAGCATTCGACTCTTCGTGACTCTTTTGAAAGCGTTGCTACAGAGAATAGGCCTTGGTTTGTCCGCTGCATTGCCTTGGTGAGCCCGGACCTCCCATTTCAAGATGACCTTTCGCCAGGTTGGTCAGATGGGGCCATGAAACTCAAAGAAGTGATGTTTGGGGGGCAACAAGACGCTTTCGCTTTGAAAGTGCACAAAGTTTTTTGCATTCCACCCTGGGAGAACAAGCCATGTTTAAAACATGTAGCTTTCCCCCGCAGACACGCCAAACGATCCAAGCAAGAACGTTGGAGTGAAGCCTGGGTTGGGTCTGAGAACCGTAGCCACAAGAAAGCTTTAGTGTATCGAATTCTTGGATGGGAGCTTCAAGGTGTGGAAGCCTCGCACGATGCAGTAGCATCGCTCTATGTTTACAGGCCTCTGCGCCAGGAACTCGGCTTCCAGATGTTGCAGGATGCTGTTGCTGCAGAGCCGGTCCCAGTAGAAAACCTGAAGGGTTTGCCTGTGTTGTGCTTGCCATCGCCTCTGGCGTTTGCAGTTTCGTGCGGTTTGTGTGACCAAGTGCCCATGCTAGCCCGGTGGACGCATCCTTTTTTCCCAACATTGTCAGAAGGGTTGCCTCAAGCTTGGCTGAATTCTCTTTCT